CAAAGCCACCCGTTTAAAAAAGAAAAGCTGTTCTTGAGCAGATGACAACTCACACTCCCCCAAGTCAACAGATCTATACAGGATTATTCTACAAAGTTTATCAATGAAAAATACCTAACAAAAAATACATAATTAATTTACAGTCATGAAGAAAAATGACATCAGGGAAATATTCCACACCAATTAGGTAAGAGTGAACTTGGTTTGATGTATTGTATTTCAAATAGTAATTCTACAGTGAAGCACTAATTCCAGTGCATTTAAATTAGCAACACAGACACTAAGGCCTGCAAGTGAAGAAAAGAGATCAAATTAGGTACCAATAATTCTGTTAATTACCTGCCAAAAAATGCCACTTTCATGTGTCTCCGTGAAAGCACCTCACCAATGACTGCTAACTTCTTTTTATAGGCCTGTATTTTTGTTAGTTCATCTTCTGTTGCCACGTGTTCAAGCTCTGGGTTCCTGTATGTTGCTAGGCATAGAAAAATAACACCATAAAAGCAATCACATACAGAGTACATGCTCCAGGATACAAGACCCCTTATCTTCACATACTAACAAAGATCTGTGTAAATTTTAATTATACAGTGGTAAAAAAACAAATCAAACAAAACCCCACTACAGACAGTGATGTTAGCTTGTCATTTAGCAGCTCCACCACAAGCTTTTGCGATATCACGGCATGGATCACTTCAGATCAACCACCAATCTGACTGCCAGCCCCAATAACCCTGTGAACACAGCCTGATCTGTCCTGCTCTTTGAGACACCTGCTTCCTTCAGAAAGGAAAGCCAGGATACACCAGCCAGGCTGGGCAGAGCTCTCTGAGGTGATGAACAACCGACTTCATGTGGCAACACACGCTTCCACATTGCTTAAACTTCTGAGGGTGCAACCAGTGGTTCTCTGCATTACAACACCTTGATCTACTTTCCTACTGAATAATGGAAGAACCTGCTTGTCCCTTCTGCTACGCAAAAGAAACCACAGCAGGACAACAAACACTAGAGTGGTTCAGCTTTCACCCCCGTGGAAAGGAGGTGAGGAGACCAGCCCAAGTGATGCAACCATTCTGTGCTGCAACAGGCAAGGCCTGTGTTCCAGATGAAGGCTAACCTTCCACAAAAGCTGCTCCCTCGCTGACATAGTCCAGCAGCCGGTCGAAAATGGCCGTGATGGTCTTTTTAGCCAGCACGAAGTGCTTCAGCGGAGAGACAGCAGCTTCTGCCATTATGCAACTGCAACAGAAGTTATATAAAAGTGACCAAAGCACTCGACAGACCCACGGACGTGAGAAGTCTCACACTTCTCATCCAGTCACTCCAGAAGCCCCAGCGAAGGCCGGTAAGCGCAGCTCCCACCGCTCCCTCCCCCTGACAAACCCGCCCCACGCGCGGACAGCGGCTCACCGAGCTCGGGGGCGGCTTTGAACCGTTTCCGTGCGGTCTCTGCTCGCGAAACACGAGCCTTTCTTCCCCACGGCAGGCGGCCTCCCCGCCTGGAGGTCAGCGCCGTCCCCTCAGCCCGGCGAGGACACGCTCCCCTGGGCCGCCCGGGCAGACCCTGCCCCGGGGGAGGTG